AGTTTTATAAAACCCTCTAACATAAGATGGGTCTGGTCCATTCTAATTATCTTGTTTTAAGCAATTTTCCTAACCCTTGAGGTTCATTCTTTCATGAGAGCCTTAGAATCACTTCATGAAATCCTCACAGCTTCCTCCACTCCCTCTTTTCTTTCCCGTGAACGTTTTACAGGGGTGCACTAAGTGTCTAGGTTCTCTGGGGAATCCCCATCCCTTTCATCCTCTCTCTCTTCTCTCAGGCCTTCTCTCTAGCTGGAGGCCGATCATCCCCTTCGTGCCCCTGATCCTTCCCTGTGGTCACAGAATGCATTTGCTCAGCCTGAAGTTGTCATCTGACCTTTCAGCCCTGGCCTGGTCCCAGGCACTTACACCTCAAATGAGGTAGTAAGGGGATGAAAAAATAAATATCTAGAAAGGCCGGCAATGAGGCTACTGTGCAATTTCCCCAGATCAAAGGGCCTAGAGACACCTGAAAAACACTTTATTCAGTCCTACAAACAGGACTTACATAAGGACCACTCTGCTCAGTCCCTCCCTGTGGCTCAAAGCTGTTTCAGCCAGGTAGTGTGAGATGGCCTACAGCCTCCTAAGTAAATAGAGGGCAAATATGTTAATATTCAAAATGTATCCAGGAAGGGTACATCCCCTTCCTGCCCTGATCCTTCCCTCAGGTCACAGAATGCATTTGCTTGGCCTGAAGTTGTCACCAGACCTTTCAGCCCTGACCTGGCCCCAGGAAGGGTGGGTTATTGGCATTACAGTAACAACCCCCAAATATCACTCAGGGTCCAAGTCCATTGCCTAGATCCAGGCAAACCCAAGGGCAGTTGTTTTCCATGCATTTGCTCAGGTTCCAGAATGTTTGCACAACAAATTTATTATTATTATTTTTGAGACAGGGTCTCACTCTGTCGCTCGGGCTGGAGTGCAGTGGCGCAATCTCTGCCCACTGCAACCTCCACCTCCCGGGTTCAAGTGATTTTCCTGTCTCAGCTTCCCAAGTAGCTGGGATCACGGGCATGCACCACCACATCTGGCTAATTTTTGTACTTTTAGTGGAAACAGAGTTTCACCCATGTTTGGTCAGGCTGATCTTGAACTCCTGACTTCCAAGTGATCCACCCACCTCAGCCTCCTGAAGCACTGGGATTCTAGATGTGAGCCATTGTGCCCAGCCTTGTACAACAACTTTATATCTACCAATCTGTCTGCAATCACAGAAGACATGGCAGTAGAAGAGAGGGCATTTCAGAAATGTATACCCAGTCTTCTGCTTCTCCCCAAGAGTGACCCACATCACAGGTTCAGGCCTGCCTTCGAAAGTCCTCTCAGTAAAAGACTGGCAAGAAACAGTAAAACTGGGCCAGGCATGGTGGCTAATGCCTGTAATCCTAACACTATGGGGGGCCAAGGTGGGTGGATCACCTGAGGTTGGGAGTTTGAGATCAGCCTGACCAACATGGAGAAACCTTGTCTCTACCAAAAATACAAAATTAGCCAGGTGTGGTGGCACATGCCTGTAATCCCAACTGTTTGGTTGGCTGAGGCAGGAGAATCACTTGAACCCAGGAGGCAGAGGTTGTGGTGAGCCAAGATTGCGTCATTGCACTCCAGCCTGGGCAACAAGCGGGAAACTCGGTCTCAAAAAGAAAAAAAGAAACAGTATAACCTACCATAGGCCTGCTATTAGCCATGGAGAGGCCTCAGAGTCACAGGCAATTAGAGTGGACAGTAATGAAGACTGTCTTGGTCTCTGAGTGGCTTTGTAATTGCATAGAAGTCTCTCCCCTATTCTCATGGTTAAAACTCTCATCATCCATCCATTCATTCTGAATCCACTTGTTGAGGGCTGCTGTTGTCCATTGCCAGAACAATCCTGCTGTTTACTTACCTGTTATAGTTAGGGAAGGGAAGGGCTGCAGGATCATGAGGGCATGACTAGCCATATCTATCTTTGTATCAAATGCCTGGATAAATATTTGACATGTAAATTAAGACTGCATTTCTCTGAGAGAGAACTAGTTTCTTTGCTCTGGGTAGGTAAATTGAAAAGGTCAAGTGCATCATTCAACTTGAATTTTAAGGTGAACATCCAGAAAGGAGGAGTGGTTGAGAATGAACTTACACAACTCAAGTTTCAGTGATGTGTATCAAGGGGATTCAGAACATAGACAGGATCCTAGAAAAGCAAACATGAGAAGGCTCTGCATCGGCTGTTCATTATGGGATGTGGGCTGGGTTGGTGACAGAACGGTGGGAAACCAGAAGGAGACTTGAGAATATACTTTTCAACTGCACAGGGGTTTCTCTATGAAACTGCTGTGAAAGTCCCCACTTCAGACATGGATGGGTCCCAGCCTGCTCTCATGGTGTCCATGGTGAGAGTCACAATGTCACCTGAGAACGTAAATCACTTGACACACAGGCTACTAAAGAAAGGACCCTGGCGACTACAGTTGAGGCAGGGCAGACACTGAGATCTATGTTGACCTTGGCATGGGCGTCAGTGCAGGGGAGCCCTCTGTGCTCAGGAACCGGTTAGAACCTGAGTTTCTGCAGCAACTGCTTCACTCCTGCACTAATGAGCCTGGGCCTGCAGATCTCAGACAGCCCTCCCTGCTTGTTCTCTGTGCTAGAGAGCAAACCAGACCCCTGTGACCCATTGGAACCAATGGATCTGAAGCTTTGTTTTGGAGTTTGAAGTATCCACATTCCAGGCCTTCAACATCATAGGAGATTTATTTTCTCCACACACTTCAACTACTCTGTCCTTTCCCTTACCAAGAGGTAGATTTGGCTTAAGTAGTGGGGTGGGTAGTGTTCACTTTCAGGGGGTCTTCCCGGACCTGTCATCATCTTGCATCTCTCCCAGTGGCCATATCGTACCGTGTAATCCCACTCTCCAAGTTTACTTGATTAGACCAGAGGTGGGCGTCTCAGACAGATAGACTCATTTCCACAGGAGTTTCAAACTGATCCCATTGGAGAGTTTCTGATTTCTGTGCCACAGTCTCTAGGACACACGATTCTCGATGCTTGGGTAGTCAAGAGACCAGGAAACAGAGGAAGCTGGTGCGCAAAGCGGGGAAAGAGGCAAAGACACACAGAGAAAAGCAGAAGCCAGGGAGAGATCATCCCGTTACCTGAGCCCTCAAATCCTTTTTCAGCCCATTTGGAACCCTCTAGTCATAGAAAAAATACTTCCCTTGGCTTATGCTAGATTCAAGTGTTTTCTCTTACTTGTAAGTAAAAAAGCTGTTCTGCGTGCCCTAGATGAATGTGTTTAGGTGTGGTCTCCGAGTAGTTTGTTCGTTATCGTGTAACTGACTTGTATTTCAGAAGCTGCCAGAAATTGGGGTCTGTATTTTTCAGTAACTGGAGAAAGACCTTAGCAGGAGAACCTGGGCTGCATGCTGTCTGCATGTGTGGCTTTTGTTTTATAGACATGCTGTCCTGTATATGAGATGTACTTGCAGGAGTGCTGGGAAGGGGTTGGGGCTTGCGGGGTTCCCATCCAGAAAGAGAAGTCCCCCTGGTTTGTGTGAACCAAGGAGAGAGTGGCTGGTTTTCTATCAGGAGAGGGGTTATTTGTTTGCCCCTTTTATGGGGCTGTGGTTCATCCAGGTGCCATCGCCGTCTTTTGAACACAGGTGTCATTTAATTCATTATGTGCAACAATACGTCAAATCAACTACATATGCATGATCTTTGGCCTCTATTTACAGGCTAAATGTATAAGCTTTAGGGTCAGAATGACCTTGCTCAGGACTCTGCTGTGACACTGACACCCTCTGTGTTCCTGCACAGTTTCATCCCTCTCTGTGCCTTGGTTTTCATATTTGGAAAATAAGGAGGAGGATTTAACTAGATTATCTCTAAGGTAGAGTGGGGAAAGAACATTCCTGGAATCACCAGGCAAGAGGATTGGAGGTGAATTGGAGCTAGGCCAGAGACCCTTTGTCCCAAAGGTACCTAAGATTTCAGATGGCTTTAGGATTGTGCAGCTGGTACTCCTCCCATGAATCAAGATGTTTATCAAGGATGGAGAAAGATTCTGGGCGGTGCAGGGGTGAGGCTTACTGAGTACAGGGCCATGTGGCCTGGCTAGGGAGGCAGACATTCTCTGTCAGGTCACCCTGCCGTGATGTACATCTTCCTGGGCTCAGACCTTGAAATAAGAGGCAGCCATGGAGGCTAGGAACCTCCTTTTATCCCTGGGATCCAGCCTGAACTGGCTAGAGGAATCTGGGGTTCAGGAAGAGCAGGCTGAATAGGGATATACCTGGGGGAGCCACCAGCCTATAGAAGGAATTGGAAGCAGTGAACAGGATGAGCTCATCTCTGGAGTGAGTGTAAGGAGAGAAGAGAACTGAGTTAAGACTTGGGCACTGCACATTAAGTGGTCAAGGAGAGAAAGAGGGATAAGCTAAAAGGAATAATAAGGGGCTGGGCACAGTGGCCGATGCCTGTAATCCCAGCATTCTGGGAGGCCAAGATAGGTAGATCACTTGAGGCCAGGAGTTCAAGTCCAGCCTGAGCAACACGGCAAAGCATCATCTCTACCAAACATACGAAAACTTAGCCGGTGTGGTGGCATGCCTGTGGTCTCAGCTACTTGGGAGGCAGAGGTTGTGGTGAGCCCAGATTGCACCACAGCACTTTAATCTCGGTGACAGAGTGAGACCCAGTCTCAAAAAAAAAAAAAAGAGTCAGAGCAGGCAAGAGGGGTATCCATGAAGCTGGGAGGAGGAAGTCCTTGAAAGAGGAAGGAGAGATCCACAGGGTCAAATGCAGCTGATGGTTTGAGAAAAGGGGCAGAAAATGAGTCATCGGGTTTGGGGACAGGAAGGACATTGGAGACCCATTTTTGTCCCTTATAGGGAAAGCAGTCTGGCCGCTTCTTCCCCTGAAACGACTTCCAGTGTGAAGGTGGCCTCACATTTCACTCTATGGTGTCCTGCAGCAGCCCTACCTTTTGTCCACATTCTGTAGAGAAGTCCTTCCCAGCACAGATGGTCACCTTTTTATTAGGATATTGGCAGCAGGAGGCACTAGGCCCTGACTTGCTGGTCAGGATCCTTAGCCAAGCATTGTCCCACCCACCCCGGTTGGCTCAGAACTCGCAGACCACAAGACGCTTTTCACCGCAAGCTCTGTCATTCCACTTGCCATTGGCGAAGATCTCCACACAGTCCTCTGACCCGCCGTCATTGTTGGGCTCCCCTGGGGCCCAGTTGGAATAGACCAGGGGCTCCCCTGTGGGGTAGGTGAACTTGCCCTCGGTCTTGGAGTCAGTCATGCTCAGGAAAGCAGCCTCGTTCTGAGCTGTGACCAGCTGTTGCAAGGCGGCATTCTCAGCAGCAGAGCGTGGAGAGGCCAGCTGCCCACCAAACTGTGTGCACACCAGCTGTGCCTCCGCAAATGGCTTCACAACACCTGCTGTCTTGAAGATCTTCTCCCCGACACTTTGGCCATTGGGGAAGAGCTCAACTAAGAGAAGAAAAGAGTCAGGTTGGGGTTGTGGCATCACCTGGCCAGAGCTCAGGGGCTCTGAGACCTCTGCATACCTACCTGAGCCTCTCAGACCTCTCAAACAGGCACCACATCAGGACGCCGGAAAGAATGCAAGAGAGACACTATTCCAGAACAGCCCCCACCCCGTGACCTACTCTGTGAAGTGACACCATTCTTCCCCACTTACAGATGAGACCACTGGAGTTTAGAGAAGCTAAGAGCTGCAAAGTCACACAAGCAGCAAATGTGCAGTCAGGGATTCAGCCTCACTCAGTTCCACACCGAAGCTCAGACATGCTCTTTCTATTTTGGCACATGCTGTATGCCAGAATCGATTTCTCAATTACTATGTAGAATTGAGCAATTTTCCCCAAGTTGATGATGGTGTAGACCAGGCCAGTTTCTGAGAGTACAGAAAATACCCTGAGTGAGCCCGCTGTCACCCCATACAACAGTAGGGAATGCGGGGTTGTCGGAGAGGGTCTGTGCTGTGTGATGGGGTGAGGAAAGGGGAGAGCAGGAAGAGGAGAGGACAGCTGAAAGCTGCCAGATGCCGATCTCTGCTCTGGGTCTAGCCTCATGTCAGCCTCTTAGTATGCACATGGATGATGCCCCAGCCAGTCAGCCAGCCTGGGAGGTGCTGAGGGAGTGGAGGAGGGCATCTGAAATGGGCATGTGTGAGCAAGACGCAGGGGAGTGGTGTCAGTAGACAGCCCTAGGTGGGAACTGGAAGACCGAGCATTCCAACCCACCCTGGCAATGGCTGTTGCGTGGGAAAGGGAAAGTCACGTTCTTTTTCAGGGTTTCCATTTCCTCATCTCTAAAATGAGGACTCAGTTCACAAAAGCATTGCCTGTGTGACGTGTCAAGTGTCTCTCTTTAGTCTGTCCTTGTGGCTCCTGGGCCCATGCATGGAAATCTTATGCAAAGTCAATGGAAGCTCCAGAGAAGGTTATGCCCCTGGCCTTGTTGGCCTGCTCAGAATGCAGGCTGCACCCTGACCCATCGTCCTTAACATTCTCCATGGGCTCAGGGTGGCATCCAGAGCAGCCCTGAACAAAGCCAGCATAAGAGTTCATGTGCCATGTGTATATATGGGCATGCCTTTGAATATATGTGCATCTATCCAAAGGTACATGGGAGTATGTACAGTTCATCTGGATGTGTGTGCTGTAGAGACAACATGTGAGCTCACGTATGTAGATGGAGGTGGAGTGAGCGGTGTTTAAGTGCACACACGTGGTGGCACATATGCCCACGTTCCTCTGTGTGTTTCTGTCACTGTGCCTCAGAGTGAATGCAAGCATGCAGAAAGGGAGATACACCAAACGCTTGAAACTCTCATCTCGGAGCTTGAGTATTTAGAATCCAACCCTGTGTCGCACTTAATCAGCCCCTTTGTGCTCCTCTCCTTCCGAAAACTTTTTCATTTTTTGGCTCAGTGAGATTTGCCTGAACTCAAAGCTGATGTCAGGAAGGGCAGAGGACAGTAGAGGCAGTTGGGCACTGATGTGGAGATTGTAAGAGGCACCAGGCATTCAGGTGTGTGCCCCTGGAGGCCTCTGACTCTTCAGGATTCCAGGGTTAGGGCAAACTCATGCTCTCCAGAGCTGCAAGGGGAGCCCAGCAGTGGCTGGAGCCCAGAGGCAGCCTGTCTTGTTTAAACCAGAAGCATGTCTAAAGTGAGATATCTGATGGCCACATGCCAAGGTCAGGCCCCCACCTGCCTTGTACACCCAGAGCAGAACCCCAGCCCTAGCTCCTAGAACAGCACCTGGATTGGATTCTCTGCTGCCTTGGGATGCGCAGCAGGATCACCGGGCCCTCCCAGTACCTGGCCCCCAGAGGTAAGAAGCGCAGCCTGTGTTGGGCAGCCCCTTGTTTATCAGAGGAACCAGCACAGGGGGGCAGGAAAGAGACTCCACGGAATCGCACTGGACTCAGGACAACAGTTTGTCTCAGAGCACAGGTGGCATTGAGGTCGGAGGGTGGTTCAGGAGCTTGACGGCCTTGACTATGCTACTGCCAGCCTGGTGAGCTGGTGATAGGGGCCACATCCTCCTCCTTTGCCCCCTTGGAGCTACTTCCAGCTCTGGGCGCCAGGTGGCTGTCCACTCTAGCCCCATCCCAGCCTGAGCCCCACTTTCTGCCACAGCCCAGGTCCAGCCCTACACAGGTCCCAGCCCATTCCCAGCCTAGATCCCGGGCAGGCTCTCCCTCAGGACCAGCCAAAGGGCAAGCCCCAGCCTAAGGCCAAACCAAGGTGGAGATCTAGTCTGGGGCTCAATGCCAGTGCTGGGCCCAGGTTCAGATCCAAACTCACCTTTCTTATACTGAGAGAGGGCAGCCTGGAGGTGCTGCACCTGTCCCCGTAAGGCCTCAACCTGCTGCCTCAGAGAAGTGACATCTTCAGGGGAGAAAATAGCTGAGTAAAGACTTGTCCAGACAACAAAGGAAGAGCTCAGAGTCTGGGCCCCAAGGGAAGAATGATTAGTTACAAGCACGTATTGTGGGGCTGACCCACAGCAAGGCCACATCGGCTGACACAGCTGGCCTCTGCTGTACAAGGATGTCTTATGGTTCTGCTATGGACACATTGGTCCCTGTACTTCACTGATACTGAACCAGATGACATTGTGACTTTAAAGTCTTGGAATATAATGGTATCTCCATTGGATGGGGAGTCAAAGGCAAGAATACACGCTCATGTGTTTCCCATTCACTGCGTTTTTAATGCCTATGACTTGGGAAAGCATTTGTGGTTCTCCCAAGGGTCAGCTGGAGAAGCTGCCCAGGTTGCTTTCCCATTCGTACTAAGTGGCTAAGACCAGAGCCCAGTGCTCCTGCCTTCCAGCCTGTCCGCCTTTCCTGAGTTCCACCCACCACACATCCCAGAGGAGGGGCTGCCCTGAGCTGACAAGGGCTTCCTCTCTGCCCACCCATGCCCCAGCGGGGCTTCCCCAAGCCAGGAGCTGCTGCCTTACCTGGAAGTCCACTTTCTCCCTTTGCTCCTTTGTCTCCAGGAACACCTTTGTCCCCTTTCAGTCCTGGGGGTCCCCTGGCACCTGGACTTCCCTGGGGACCCGTGGCTCCAGTAGACCCTGGGGTGAAAGAAGAACTGGGTGAGCCATGTAGCCATTTCTTAGCATGTTCACCTTCCAGTACATGAACTAACTATCCTTACTGCCCAGAAACAGACAGTCCCCAGCAGCCAGCTATGCAGCTCTCTGTACACTGACTGTCCCTGTCATCCAGCAATCAATGCTGCTGTGTAAAATTGCCCCGCCACCCAACAACTAACCTTCTCTGTATACAGACTTCTCTGTTGCTTAGCACCACACTCTCCCTAGATAGGAACCATCCCCAGAGCCTCCTCATGCACCCTCCTTGGACATAGATCCCCCCTGTGGTCCAGCAATGCCAGCTCTGCCTTTGTGAGTGGGGGGGGGGGTAGGCATTGACAGCTCCAAGCGGGCACAGCGGGCACAGGAGAACTGGACCCAGCCCAGCCCCAGCTCTTTCCACTGCTCACCTGCTGCCCCTGTGTTTCCAGGGACTCCGCGCTCACCAGGGGCACCTCGCTCTCCCTTAGGACCTGTGGGGCCTCTTGCCCCCGCCGAGCCCTGCATGCCTGGGGCACCTACTTCTCCTGAGGAAGGAACACACAGGAACAAACACAGCTGAGAGTGCATTCGCTGGGTGCGGTTTTCTTAGCAATGGAGCTTTTTACCCACAACTTTGGGTCAGATGAAGTGGGGAGACTATCCTTGCTTTCTGGGGCCCTCTGTGGAGAGTGAGAGAAAACTATTGCTACTGTGTGGACTGGGAGAGTGCACGGCAAGGCCTTTGCATCACTGAGGGTCTGGGCCCTCCCTGGCACTCTGAGCATGCCTCGGGTCACATCACGGACTCTCATCCTTCCTCCCTTCCACTCTCAGACCAACCACAGACCGGCCACCTACCTTTGGGCCCAGCTTCTCCTTTTGGGCCTGGCTGGCCCTGAGGTCCTATGTTCCCCTGCTTCCCCAAGGGACCTTCTCTTCCAGCTGGACCAGGCGCACCGGGAGGTCCTGGAGGTCCTAAGGAAAAGCACCAGCCCGGTCAGTAACGTTGAACCCTCTTGGCAGGAGGAGCGTGTAGTAAGGTGAGGGTAACAACGGAGGTCAGGGAGCTACATCGTTGTCCTCCCAATAGCAGCCCCCATCTGTCCTGAAATGACCCAGTGCCACCTTCAGACAACCTTCTTCCTTCTTCCTGGGATGGGCACTGTGCATGCCCGCTGGCATATCCTCGTAGCCGCACCACCACCTGGAAACACTTGAAGTCAACTGCCCAGTTGCTCACCACTTGGCCCAGTGTCTCCCTTTGGTCCAGGTTCTCCAACGGAGCCATTGTCCCCTTTGGGCCCAACTGGGCCAGCTTGTCCAGGCATCCCTGCTTGCCCTGTAGCTCCTGGCAAACCTGTAACAGCAGAAGAAATGGACAACGACCTGGCCCTAGATCCAGGAAGGACCAGCCGCCTGCAGGGTCGGCCCTCAGCATTCCTTCAGGGTTCTGCAGAGCATGACAGTTCCGTCGTCACACACCCGGGTCCAGTGGTGATCCAGGAAATGGGTATTGGCATGCCCGCTTTATAGGCGAGGAAGAAGCTTTCCAGAGTTGGAGGTGGATTAAAGCCAAGACCTGTCTGACTTTCTATGAGGTGCTCCTTCCCCTGCCCCAAGGCCACTGCATTGATGGCAGGCAATCTGTCAGCTCTTACCTGTGATCGTACACTTCTTGCTTTATATATATATCTCAGGAAAGCCAACCAGAAGTGGCACCAGACGGGTGGTGCTAACTTGTTCATTCCGGTATTGGTCCATTTGCTCATTTATTTGTTCACTAAGAGCCATCTAAACAGCATCTACATTATACCTAGCACTGGGCCAGATGCAAGTCTGAGCTTAGCCTCAGGTCCTCAGCAAGGGGTTCATCATATACTGTGAGACAAGGGTAACAGGAGAGGAAGACAATGCATGAAGGGTCCCTCATCTCATCCGAGCATCCCCACACCAGCACACACACACTCAGAGCTGTCTTCCTCAAAGAGAAAGTGGAATTTTAAGAGCAAGGAGAATTTAGGAAGGTTTGCAGAGGGGAAACGACATTTCAGACTTGGAAACAATGCTCCCATGGCAGAGGAAGCCAGGCCTCCGTGGTGGCCAGAGGGTTGTGGGGGACATGAACGTGTGGTTGTGGTGAGAGTAACAGTGAATTTGCTGGATGGATGAAGATTCTGTGCTTGGTGTATCCCAGCAGCACCACCACCTGGAAACATCTGAATTCCATGCCCACTGGAATTCCATGACCTCGGTCCGGCTGTTGGTTACAATCCTTATTAGGGATGAAACAGAAGCACAGAGGGTTATAGGATGGGCCACACCCTTGACACCCAACAGCACATTGTGCTCAAGGCAGGATGTCCTGACCTCAGGTGGAGCCTCGCTTGGGCTTCACCCTGGCCAGTCCGGCAGCAGGAAGATAGACCAAGAGAAAAACATCACTCTTCAGAAGGGAGCGTTAGAGCTCGCCTGTTCTTGGCACACAAACTGTGGAGGCCATAAGAGCACCAGAGTGGAGGAGGGGCACCTCCCCAAACCCTGCACCTGTGCCTTTCAAAGCACTCATGTGCATCCTAGTGTCCCCAGAGACCTAGCCCTGCACCTGAGTGCCACCTGTGGAGCTTAACGGCCCAGCCCTTAGCTGTTGTGACTCCTAAAACCTCTCCTCCCCGTCCATCTTCCATTCACTCATTCCATAAATATCTCTGGAGCTACTGCATGCCGGCCACTGCCCTAAACACTGGGGATAAACAGCCCCTCTCTGGGGAGCTTCAACTCTATCTCGTAGAAACAGATAATAAAACATTAAAAATGTACAATATAGGCCGGGCGCGGTGGCTCAAGCCTGTAATCCCAGCACTTTGGGAGGCCGAGGAGGGTGGATCACGAGGTCAAGAGATCGAGACCATCCTGGTCAACATGGTGAAACCCCGTCTCTACTAAAAATACAAAAAATTAGCTGGGCATGGTGGCGCCTGCCTGTAATCCCAGCTACTCAGGAGGCTGAGGCAGGAGAATTGCCTGAACCCAGGAGGCGGAGGTTGTGGTGAGCCGAGATCGCGCCATTGCACTCCAGCCTGGGTAACAAGAGCGAAACTCTGTCTCAAAAGAAAAAAAAAAAAAAAGTACAATATATGGTAGTTAGATACAATGCCACAGGGAAAAGTAAAGCATACGGTGTATTGGGGTAGAGTCTGTTTTCAGTAGGCTGGTCCGGGAGTGCCTCACTGAGAAAGTGATTGGGGAGTAAGGTCCTGAAGGAGGAGGAGTATGAGCCGCAGGGACAGCTATGAGAAGAGCAAATGGCAAGCCCTCAAGGAGGGAGGGGGCTGAGCGTGGACGGGGCCAGCAAGAAACGGTGTGGTTGGAGCTGAGTAGGGGTTGGGGCACTGAGGTCAGAGGAGCAGCAGGGGTGCGGGGTGGTCCCGCCGGGACTTATGAGCTGCTGTAAGGTGTGTGGTTTGTCCCCCTGGAGGGACTCTCCCAGAAAATCTTTCTGGGCAGGAATGCTGGAGGTGCTGAGGAATAAGGAATTGTTCCCCCGAAAGGCAGGATCTGGGTCTTATTTGCTCTCCATTATATGTCTGAGTTATTGGTCAGAGTGGCTCAAGCTCCACCCTCCACCCTGCTCAAAGGTCTCTTCTTCCAAGCCCCAATTTTCCTCGTAGCAGGTTCTGGGAACCACATGTTTCCAACTCTGCAGGGGTGGTTGACAGGTGCACAGACTTTGGCCCCACACAGACCTATAGGGTCAGGATTCTGAGGATGCTCCAGGCCTCCCAGGACATCCATCATCAGACCTGTAACAGTGGAGTGACTGGAGACACTGCAATTGAGGAGCCAGAGTGGAGCCTCATCCTGCGGCCCCACTGTGCGCTGTCCTCTGTCCAAGTACTGACCCAAAGCCAGGCCTGCAATGTGCATGGGGTGAGGCACATACGTGGGGAAGGGAGGCCTTGACCATGCTCCAGGCGGCAAACTTGGAGGGTCATTGTGGGAAAGATCCCCGAGATTCGAATCTGGGGCCCCCACTGGAAGGCAGATGAGTTGGGAGTCTCTGAGAAAGAGCTGCCAAGGTGAATCCCACCCTATTCTGAGTTCCCCACTGGGCAGCCGTCCCCAAGCCCCATCCCATTCACATTGGGAGCCACTTTCTGTCTGTAAGGGACAGGCAGATGCTCACTCGCTGCTTACCCCACAAAGCCTGGGGATGTTGCTTCATCTTTCCACAAAGTTAAGGACTATCTGATCCCTTTGAAGCCCTGCCCACTGTCACAGAAGTCCCTTGGTTCATGCTGCTGGTTCATGGAATTCTCCTTTCTTGAAAATAAGACCCAGATCCTCCCCTACAAGAGGGAGCAGTGTTTCCAGGGACAATTCCCTGACTCATCAGTACCTCTGCTAAGCTCAAGATAATTCACCTATTTAGTACAGCAGGAAATGTAACTTTATCCCAAAGACTCAATAAAAAATAAAGCTTTTGGCTCAATTATTCACCACTGCGTGGCAGATATCACTCCTATTAGATAAAAAAATGACCTCAGTGACACAGGAGGGTCTCTCCCAGGTGTGGAGATGGAGCCAACAGTCAAGCCCAGGCCAGCCTGGTGCACAGCCCTCGTACTTTCCACCCCAGAATGGCTGTTACTTAGCCTCTCTGCATCGTCGTTTGCTTACCTGTCAAAGGAGATTAATATGTCCCCTGTAAGACTCTTGGGAGGATTAAATGAACGACTCAAGTGAATGCCCAAGCACAGGGGTGGGCAAAGAAATGTGAGTGCCCTTTCTCTCCCTGTAATGTATTAGGGCAAATCCTCTTGAGTAGGCTTGAGAATGGAGCCATGGAGCCCCATCTTTTCTCACCCTTCATGCAATGGAATTTAATTAAATATTAAAAATATTTAGGCCAGGTGCGGTGGCTCACTCCTGTAATCCCAGCACTTTGGGAGGTCGAGGCGGGCAGATCACGAAGTCAGGAATTAGAGACCAGCCTGGCCAACATGGTGAAACCCCGTCGGTACTGAAAATACAAAAATTAGCAGGGCTCCGGGGTGGGTGCCTTTAATCTCAGCTACTCGGGAGGCTGAGGCAGGAACTCTGCTTGAACCCAGGAGGCGGAGATTGCAATAAGCCAAGAGTGCACCACTGGCCTCCAGCCTGGGTGACAGAGCAAGACTCTGTCTTGAAAAAAAAAAAAAGAAAAATACTTAATGCCCTTCACAGGCACCATTTAATTGGAATGAACAACTGCTAACTGCTGGCACAGAGCTCTAGAAGGCCCCCAGTATCAGTAATTCACCCCCTGTTTGCTTGCTCTTGGGATGGGAAGGATCTGGGGATCCTAGAGGAGGAGCCAGGGCAGCTGTGTGCTGGAGGAGCACATGTGGGCTCAGCACAGCCACCTGTTTGTCAGCTGGTGGAGTAGTGTGGAACCCACCTTCTTGGGAGGAAGAAACACATCTCCAAGACTTCCATAACAAAGTACCCAGAGTTTCTGGGCTGGTTACAACTCCAATGACCGCTCCTCCCCAGCAGGATAAGCCCATGGCCCCATGCTACCTGGGTCCCCCTTCACGCCCCGAGGGCCCTCTCTCCCATCCCGTCCATCGCGACCAGGCAGGCCACTCTCCACTGAGCTGCACATGACCAGGGTGCAAGCATTGGTCGCTGTTCTCTGGGAGTAGGTCCTCATTTCTGCTTCCAGGTAGCCCAGGGGCTGTGTGAGCAGGACCAGTGCAGAGAGGAGGAAGAGCAGCATGACCTGGAGAGGTGAACGGAGAGAGAAAAGACATGCTCATGCTTCGAGGACATGGTTTAGGGCTTGGCTCAGCTTCTAAAAGTGATGAGAAGCCCCCATGTCCGCCTTCTCTCCTCTGTAGTGGGGCCCAGAGCAGCAGGAATCCAAAAGCAGTTTAGGGACGAGGTGGGCACATGATCTGGGTGGAGGGCATGAGTTACCCAGCTGGAACTCTGAGACAGCTTGATAGCAGCATCTCCCTATTCCCAGGTGCTCATGTCTTCCCTGCTTGTGCCACTACTTTTGGCACAGTGGCTAGAATGTAGCATTCCTCACTGGGGCCATCTGTCACATCAAGAAGAGTTCATTGTGCCTCTGGGCAGGACCCCACACCACTCCCTAGACCGTCTGCCTGTCTGTACCACTGAGGTGATTGGCTTAGCTACAAGGCAAGCCTGTTTCTTCTCACTTGCTGCCTTGCATGGATTCGTACTAGCGCTGACAGTGCTGGTCTGAAAATGAGCCAGAGCCCTGAATGCTTAGTGATGTCCTTTCTGAGCACAGGCTGGGAGTGTGGTGCACATTTGCCTGGCAATTTGCCATTTCTGAACCAGATGCTGTCTCTAGAGAAATGTCCCAGAGGGAACTCAGGTGAAAGTTTTCAGAGACACTAAACTAGCAGCAGGAGAAATCCTGAGACACCTAGAGTTCTTCCCAGGTCATCTGAAAGGGCTTGGAAAAGAAGTCTTATGTGGAGACCGGGCACGGTGGTTCATGTCTGTAATCCAAGCACTCTGGGAGGTCGAAGCGGACGGATCACTTGAGGTCAGGAGTTTGAGACCAGCCTGGCCAGCATGGTGAAATCCCGTCTTTACCAAAAAATACATAAAATCAGCCAGGTGTGGTGGTGCGTGCTGTAATCCCAGCTACTCAGGAGGCTGAGGCAGGAGAATCACTTGAACCTGGGAGGCGGAGGTTGCAGTGAGCTGAGATTACACCACTCCACTCCAGCCCGGGCAAGAGAGAAAGACTCTGTCTACAAAAGAAAAAAAGTCTTATGTGGAAAGAGGACATGCCAGGTAGGCTGAGTTGGGCAGAAGGCTAGTTTTGCAGGTAAGCAAGAGCAACTATCCAACAGGGCACCCATTTACCATCTAAGAGGGTCAGGAACTGAGATCAGGATAAGAGCAGGACCTGGGATATTCCCTGTGTTGGGCGTCTTTTCTCTCAAAGAGAAGCTGCAGTTATGAGAGTGAAAAGAGCTGATTAGATCCTCAGGGGCTGGGAACACAGCCAGAGGAACTTGCGCAAAGAAGGGGGTCGCCAGGCCAAGTGGGGTGGTGGCAAGGGAGGAGCTTCCTGCCTAGAGGAGTGCTTTCTTTTCTGACTACTGGTGATTCTGGGCTGTGGATGACCCCTGTTTCTCACTAGCCTCTTTCAATTTTGAATTCACCACTTCCTCGGGTATCCTGGGAGTCTCTGGAAACAGCTGAGTGAGCTCCCCGCCAGCAGCAGCTACCTGGTCACACCTGTTTTGGCAGAGGCTCAATCATGAGCCCAGCCAGAACAAGGACACTGTTCTGTGGCCTGCAGCTGCCTCAACCCTGGGGCCCTGTGCCTGATTCTGGGGAAGAATGAAAGGCAACAGGCATTCTGTCTGCAAGCTCAAGATGGCACAGAGGCACCACCAGCCACTGAGGCATGAAGGACCCTTGGAGAGGGCAGACTCCAGTTTTCAGACCCAGAATTCAGATGAGGCATCTTAGCTGGGGCAGCAGATGGAGTGGGCAGAGCCGTGGTCCCCCTCAAGCCCTGCAGTGCCCAGTTTATGCTAAGCTTTCAGAGTACACTTTCAGTGAAAAGAGTGTCTCCTCTGAATATGGGTTGGAAAATCAGAGACCTACTCCAGTAAGTATATTTTTTTTTTTACAGTAAGGACCTGAAACTATGAGAAAGCAATTTTCCCTGCTTTTCCACAGGCATTTGGCACCAGGATGGGTTTAGAACCCCGGCCTGTGAGTGCCTGGGTTTGTCTCTCCTCCGCTGTCCTTTCTGAAGAAATCAGGGCAGAAAACAGCCTAGAGAGAAATTAGAACTGCATTTTTCCACCTGAGGCTTCCACACAGTGGCATCTGAGGTCTAGATGGTGTCACACCCCCTCCTCCACCCTGTGAACCTCCCCCCCAACCGCCGCCACCCAGCTCAGAAAGCAAATATCCCCTTGGGCTGAGGCTACTGAATAAGGGGCAGAAGAGCACCATAGGACCTCCCGGGCTCCCCACCTCCCATGTCCATACCTCTTAGACCAGAACAGCTACGGAGACCTTCCCTTCCTCCACACCAGTAGGTTGAACTGCCCAGGTGGGCAGGGGAATATTTACAAGATGTGAAGAAAATTAAATAAATTAAAAAAAGGCAAGAAGAGAGACACTTACAGGTTTATTCTTCTTAGGCCTCAGGAGCTCCAAACAAACTAGCCTTTGCTTGGCAGGCACTCACTATTTATGCCCGCCCTGCACCCTGAGCTGCCCAGCCCCCAAAACTCCCTTCAAGAAGTGGGGCAATTTTCTTCTTTATTGACTCACTCACTCTTATCCCCACCTGCGTTCTGGAAACCTGCCATTGATATTCACAACACTATACACATCCATCACTATAGTTTGCAGACCACTATCGGGCCTTGATCTCATCTGCACTCTTCTCACTGCAGCTCTGTGAGTTAAGTGGTATCATCAGTGTCCTTAGTTTATAGATGTTCAGAAATCAGGAGTCCAGAGACCAGTGAGTTGCACAATGTCCTACAGTGATTGCAAAAGCAACTCATAACTGCAGATCTTAAGAGCCAGGACCTGTTGTGTCCACTTCTCCTCTTCCTTCATCTCAACAGCACTGCCCAGATATTGGGAAAGAACTGGGAGCTGCTTGGCATACCTGGGCAGGGGTGGGGCGGATGGAGTGGCTGCAGAGGCAGCAGCATGTGGGGGCAGCAGCTAGGGAGCTGCCACCTGGAAAGAGCTGCTCTTTTGCATGCTGCTCTAGGCCTCAGAGAGCCCCTGCGTCACTTGTCTTTTGTGGAATGGATTTCCCTTAGTAGACCTCTGCCTTGCCATCACACCCAGAACCAATACATATCTTTTAAGTGGAACATTTACTCCATTTATTATCAAGGTTAATATTGAGAGGTAATGTTTTGTTCCTGTCATGATAATTGTTACCCAGTTGCTTTTTAGTCTCAATTGTGTAATTGCTTTATATATTCTATGAGTTTTTCACTTTAATATGCTTTTATGATGGGAAGTATTGTCCATTTATTTTCATGTTTAGAACTTTAAGCATTTCTTATAGGGCTGGTCTAGTGGTGACAAATTCCCTCTGCATTTGTTTGTATGAGAAAAATTTCATTTCTCCTTCATTTATGCAGCTTAGTTTAGCAGGATACAAAATTCTTGACTGGCAGGGTTTTTTTTAATTTAAGAAGATTAAACTAAGACCCCAATCTCTTCTGGCTTGTAAGGTTTCTGCTAAGAAGTCCATTGTTAGTCTCTTGGGTTCTCCTTTATAGATTAGACACTCTGTCTTGCTGCTTTTAGGATGTTTTCCTTCACATTGACTACGGGTAGTCTAATGATGATATGCCTTTATGAGGTTTCTCTTGTAGAGCATCTTCCAAGTGTTCTCTGAGTGTCTTCTATCTGGATGTCTAATTCTCTAGCAAGACCAGGGAAGTTTTCCTAAATTATTCCCTCAGATAGGTTTTCCAGGCTTTTAATTTTTTTTTCTTCTCCCTCAGGAATGTCTATATATTATATGTGTGGTAACTTTACATCCTTCTATATTTTTCAAAGTCTTTGCTCATTTTTAAAAATTAATTTTTCCTTTATTTCTGTCTGACTAGCTAAATTCAAACAACTGGCCTTCACACTCTGAAATTACTTATTCTTCTTGATCTAATCTTTTGTTAAAGGTTTCATTTATGTTTTATAGTTCTTTTGATATATTTTTATTTCTAGAATTTGTTTGGTTTTTATTTTTTAAATATCTATCTCATTAGTAAATTTTTCATTCATATCCTGAATTTTTTTTCTGATTTCCTTATGTTAGTTTTCAACTTTCTCTTGTACCTCATTGAGCTTCTTTACAATTCATATTTTAAATTATTTGTCATTTCAAAATTTTTATATTGGTTAGAATCCATTGCTAGGGAGCTAGTGTGATGCTTTGGGAGTGTCAAAATACTGATTTTTCATACTTCTAAAGTTCTTATGCTGATTTCTTCTCATCTAGAGAAGCTGTTACTTTTTACTTTTGAACTTATTCTCATTTGAATGGGATTTTCCCCCCATTTAAGGTGTGACTGTATGTTGTGTATGATCATTTGGCTTCAACTTTATGTACCTTCCGTGGGTCAAAGCTCTATGTGAGTTTCTTGGTTATAGATAGCTTTTGTGTGGTGGCTTTATTATGCTGATTGTAGTAGCAATGTATTGGGCATATGAGCAGGAATACTGCTTTCTGAGGGGCTGGGAATGAGTAGGTCTCAGGAAGTTTATCTCATTCCTTAGCTCTATGCCCTCTGTCAGCCTGTTTTTTATTTGGTTGTGCAATTCAATCTGTATCCCAATAAGAGCTGGCTATGACAGAGGCTGATGGGTATTTGGTCCCAGTTTTCTGGGAGGGGATTTCTCTTGTCACAGGCAGTTGGCTGGTCTGTGGATGGCCTGATTCCCTGAAGGGGACACAAAGCTTTGGATGGCAACACAAAACTGAGTGGAGCTAAATGACCAAGCTCTCCCTAGGAAACCCCAACGATGAGCAGAAGCACCTGCCCTGATGGGGGTAGAAAGGGGAGCTCATGGTGAAATGCACTGATGTCTCCACCAGAGTGGGAAGCAGTGTACCAGCTCCACATCCTGAGCAGGCAGGAAGGCAACCCACTTTCCAATCACACCCTTGTCACAGAGCTTGTGACCTTCAGTTCAGATAGACATTGTCCTTCATCTCTAGGCTGCAGTGCAATGGAGGTCTGCAGAAAACACCCATCCTGTGGCTACCACCAAAATGGCCTTGGGATAGAACCTCTTCCCTCAGCAGCTCTGATACTCCTCTGCATTCTGTTATGGGAATGCTGCTGCTCCGTATGGGGAGGAGGATAAACTCTGACCCTTGTGCAAGCCTTGACCAGTAGGCACACCATCAATGGAAGTGCAGCTCTCCCCCAGTATCCCTGAAAAACTATGCCCAGGTGCACTTCTACCAACTCCCAGCAGAGACAGCCAAGGGTCTATCTGGAGCCATGAGTGAAGGGGTAGGAGAAGACTCCCTTTCCATGTTTATTCCCAGGCACCAGTGTCACCTACCTGCTTGCGGGTGCAGAACCACACTCCTCCCCTTCAGATCCCAGCACCGTGCCTGTATCTCTGCTGGGAGGGGGTTAGTCAACCTTTTATCACAAGTGGGGAGCTCTCAGGCAAAGGAGAGCCAACAAATTATTGGTTTATTTTATCTGAAGGGGTATATTGGCACACACCCTCTCCCTTCTCCTGAGGGCTAGACCTCTAGGAATTCCATAGCTCCCCCAGAGACCCACCTGTCCCCTGTAGGTTTTGCAGTCTGAGTTCTTGGGAATGTTTGTGGAGGATCTAGTGATGTAGAAACACGGGACTGAGATTCCCTGGGAAGAATAGAGACCCACAATGGGTACATAACCAGTATGGCACCTGCCACTTCAGCTCAGGTTTTGGGGAGAGCAAGTGAGCCTGCATGAGCCGACCACCCAAAGCTCTTCCCTCAAGAAGTTCCCAAATCATCACTGACAGCAGTGCCTGGGCTCATAGGTGCAGAGGGGCTTTCCAACAAGTTCAGCAGTCTGTAGTCTGCCACAGGAGTGAGGGGAGCAACTCCTGCACCTACCCTCTCCATGAGACTCTATGTTCCTTGGGGATCAATCTCTGCCAAACTCTTCCTTTCTTCTTTTTCTGCACTACAGCGTTTTCCTGGGGGTTCTCCAATAGGTCGTATCACTCCTTCCTCAGTATTCCACTCAGACCATGATTATTCAACTGCAATTTTGGTTCTTTGTTCTGAGGAGAACTGGTATGCAAAGTCTCTAGACAGCCATCTTGGGGAAAGGAAAATTCTACTTGTCTTTATAATTACCTTTACCAGTGAGACTTATACTTTGGTATGCATTTATGTTTCTGTTTAACCTCTTTTTATTTTAACTTCAAGAAACTTTCTTCAGCACTTCCTGCAAGGTAGATCTAGTGGTAACAAACTCCCTCAGTATGTGTTTGTCTAGTTTTTATCTTTCCTTCACTAATAAAAGACACTTTGCTAGGTATAGAATTCTTGATTAACAAGTGTTGTTGTTGTTGTTTTTTAATATCTTTAATATATCATTTCATTCTCTCCTGGTCTGCAGGGTTTCCACTCAGAAATCTGGTGATAGCCTTTTGGAGGTTCCCTTTTATGTGACAAGTCAATTTTCTACTGCTGCTTTCAATTTCTTTTCTTTGTATTTGACTTCTGACAAACTAATTATAATGTGTTCAGTATAGACCTCTTTGGGTTCATCTTATTTGGGGAATTTGGGCCTTCATGAATCTAGATATCTATTTCCTTTCCTAAATCTGGTAAGTTTAAAGTTACTGTTTCTTTAAATTGGTATTCTGCCCGCTTTTCTCTCTCTCCTACTTCTGCAACACCCATTATACATAGATAAATTTCCTTCATGGTGTCCCCGTAAGTCCCATAGGCTTTCTTTACTTTTTTTAATTCTTTTTTTATTTTTGTTCCTCTGATTGGATAATTTCAAATGACATGTCTATAAATTGCTAATTCTTTCTTCCACTTGATTGAATCTACTGTTGAAGTGCTCTGTTCAATTTTCAATTCAGTTCCAGGATTTTTGTGGGTTTTTTTTTTTAAATGGTTTTTATTTCTTTGTTAAACTTCTAATTTTGTTTATGTATTGTTTTCCTGATATTTTTTCATTGTCTTTCTGTGTTCTCTTGTATCTTGTTAAGCTTCTTTAAGATGATCATCTTAAATTTTCTGTCGAGCAGTTTGTGAATCTTCATTTCTTTTGCTTTGGTTACTGGAGCTTTATTAGATTGATTTCATGGTGTCATGTTTGCCTGATTCTTTATGAACCTTGCATCCTTGCATTGGTGAATTTGCATTTGTAGAAGAAGCCAGATCAGAGATTCTGGGTGGGTTGGCTGATGGGGTCAGCAGACAACCAGCTGTTGGTGACCACAGGTGGGCCTACTGCTGAAATTGGTGGGTAGGTTTGCTGCTGTGATCCATGTGTGTACTTGCTGCACGTGTCCACACGTGGGAGGACCTGCCGCTGGAGTCCACAGTTGAGCAGGCCTATTGCCATGGTTTGCAGGTGGGGTGTGCCTGCTATCAGTATCTGCAGGTATATTTGACTAATGGTTGTGGGTAGGGGGGTGCTGCTGTAGGGGTCTGCAGTGGGAAGGTTGCCTTGGGGGTCTGTGGGTGGAGAGGATCACTACCCAGT